TCGCTCTTAAGTCATACTGTAACTGCTATGAAAGGCGTGTCGCTTACCACCTTATTACGCACAACTTGTGCGTCCGTTAATTTAATATCATAAAAAAAAGGTTCACAACCTTAGAAAACGTGTAAAGTCCCATCCGAGGGGCGGACCCGCCTATACTCTAAAATCAAAATTAAAAGTTACGTCCTTTCGTTATAAAAGGAATGATAATGTCACAATAAGTACAATAAATGCGTGTTGTTTGCATACCATACACATAATTATACATAAAACCACTTAACAATGCAAGTTAGATGCAAAAACCGTAATGTTGTGAAAAACTAAGTGATATTAAAGAAGCTTCATTGTCACTTGACGACTTCGGTGGGCTAACGGTTTGCATTGTGGGTGTTAGATGTGTTGGTCCCGGGCTCAATTCTCAGTTGGACCAATTTAGGAATTTTTCTATATATTGGTTCTAGTCTGGGTGTTCTAAGTAGTGCCCCAGAGTGTATTCCGTAATCATAGTACAAGGAAAAAATAGAGCACAAAATTATCTTTTAAAAACAGTTAAAATTAATTAACGTGTTCGTAACTTGTAACTTATCGGAACTTACCCTAACGGTGCATAGCTGAAATATCATTAAACAATGTCAATATTCTGAAAACGGGGTTATGGCTTTTTTATGATGTCTCAAAAAAATATTTTGTCACTTAGCCGTTTTAGTTAGTGGATGGCAGTATCACCCTTTACACGGATGCTCTTTTCGCTGTAACAAAAACGAACACGAGCAATCGGGCGCGAAAGAACGGAAGCTTAAAAAAATTCAAATAACTTGCGAAAGAGTAACTGTATAAAGGATATCAGTGATTTCGAACATTTTAAAGTGCGAAATAATCCACAATATTGAGCATATATTTCAAATTTTAAACTTGTCAAGACAAGTCTTACAAGATCTTAAAATAAAACCTAAAGCTTGTGCGGCCAAAGTTTGACAAAAGCCATTGTTTTTGAACAGCCTTTGTCCCTGTGAATTTTGACTTAGTGCCGTTGAGAGGTCTCTTTATGAACTCTTGAATAATAAATATTGTGTTGGTTGATATGTGTGCTTTTCAACGAAAACATAATACGTCAGGAAATGAAAGTATTTTTCCGGATTTAAATCGCCTATATTTGCGTTACGTTACGTTACGTCAATGTCGGCAAACTAACCAATCAAGTGACAAAAACTGCTATCTGATTGGTGGATCGATGTCTTGATAACGGCAATTTCTTTTTCGATTTTTGAATCTATTTAAATCAGATTTCAAATTATTAAGATATTTATTTTCTTGGTAATGATCATTATAATTATATCTTATAACTATCCATACCAATTGAAAAAAAATGAAAAATCTTCGAGAAAATTATTCGAATTTAACCTTTATTTATATTGACATTTGGCACATTTGGATACGTCTCATTTTGTTACTCCAAATAATTTTATAAATATCAAGATCAAGATGCATTTATCGACATAATTATCGTGATTAATTATCAGAATAATAACTGTCAGTGATATGTATCACTTCGAACCTTGATTTGAATAAAAACTTCATATTATGAGGAAAAAAAACGAAAATAATTTTCTTATAGCCTCGTTGGTGCAGTCAGTAGAGTGATCATTATTCATTCATTATCTACCTTTAACTAGGGTTGACTTACGAGATACTGATGTATAATGTAGAAGGTATAATCATATAAATTCTTGTCCGTAATTACTTGGTATAACTCGAATTTTTTTTGAAGACGGCTGTTTTATAAGGGCATTTCTAAACCGACAGCTGCAATCCCTTTTTAAAACTACTTACACAGAATTTGATATTGATTGATATTACAAAACTATTGAGTAACACAGAAAAAACCCAAAGCATAGAATAATTATTCTAGCGGCAAACTTTCGGATTATATTCATAACACAATTTAATATTTTATTTTCGAAGTATACAATTTTTTATTCAAACAACATTTCATTAAATTTGTACAATTCGAGCTTAAGGAAGCGATAAATTGCATTTCACGGTTGTTTTTTTTTACAAGCGAAGAATTTTTATTCTTTTTTAAACAGTAAATAAAATGCCGTAATGTTATGGATGCCCAGAATACACAAACAATGCTTTTTGCATACGAGCTTAATAACAAAATTATAAGTATATTACTTGAACACACTATAAAAAGCAAAACGTCATCAACCTCTTTCGAAAGTTCTAGAGTACAGAAATTACATTTAATAACTTTAATAAGGAGCATAAAAAATAATACCCAACCAATAAGTAATTTTGAATTTCCATCTTCAATTTCAAATAGCGCTTGTTGTTGAATAGCCCGTCTGTTGAGTCTCGACCAATCAAACTACACAATTCGAAAAAGGAAGAGGTTATTGAGAAGATGGGTCGTTATACTGGTAATGTAGTTTATAGATGACCAGTATTTATATTTGTGTAGCTTTTTGTTATGTAATGGTAAAGAAAGGATATTCTCAAAAGCGAATACTCGCAGCCGAGCTGGAGAAAATTTAAATAGAAAGTCGGTTGTGCAACATTCTGTTTGATTTGACGCTGTAACACTGTATTGACTCGCCCAGTTATGACATATGTGGCTACAAAATGAACCAACCAAAAAGCCCCGAAATTCACAATCCCTAAAAAAAACAAAATCACTAGTGAGTGAGTATAGGCACTAGCCATTGGCCTACCAACAAATGGACGTCGGGTCTAATACAAAAAACGATGACAAAACATGTCCAAAATTAACCTATTTATACGTAGTGGTATGTAACGACATATAAAAAAATAAAACATTTAATTTAAATTGTAACGTCATTGTAGTATTGCTTAATTTTGGTTGCAACAATATAAGGGCCCAAAAACACCATATTCAGCTTCTACTGGAAACTTAACAAAATGCACCATATTTAGGAAAATTACTTGAATACAAGAGAACGAAATTGAAACTGACAAAAAAGTTTACATAAACTTCTTTAAATTAACGTAATGGGTCTCTTTCCGTCTTTTGCGCATGCAATGTGTAAAAAAATACAGTAATGTAACATAACAATATTAATATATTAGACATAACTTGTTGATGACTGTACCCGCCTCAGTCAACCGTAACCATGGGACCTGTAAAGGGCCCGAAACGTCGGTTTGTTTGAAAAAACAAATTCACGCGATTTAAATCGGGAAAAATAGTTTCATTTCCTATGTGTAACAATCGCGAAAACTTATCCGCTCACGCGATACATGCAGCCGTAGACGCATACCACACCTAGAGGTGCCGGTGATGATTTTATACCGATTTATCGGTTATCGAAGTTATAACAGGTAAAAGAACTAATATTAATTGTTATTTCGGTAACTACTCTAGCAAACCATAAAGTTTTTAATGCGTGGGTCTGTCATTTAAAAAAAATAAACAACTTCAAAAATACGTCACGATAATCATGTGTGTTATTGTTTCGGTTTGTGATTTCGGTGTTTATTTATTGAAAACATACCGTAAGTAGCGTTTTTAAAGTTTACCCTGAATATAAATGTTTATAAACTATACTTTAAGGAATAATTTCATGGTAAACGTTAGAACCACTCAAACGGAATATTATCATATTTACACCAAAAATTTCATTAGTGCTTTTTAAGTGCAGTATTTGCGGTGTATTACTGCATTTTATTTGAGATGTTTTTGTTGGTAGTACGGAGGGTATTTATTTAGCAATGCAGAATAATAATTTTTATTTATAAAACTTGTATTTAAACTGAATGCTTTTCTAATTTGCGAAAACAAATAGCCGCCATTTTGCGGTTGGAGGAGCGCATCGCGTGAGCGAACTGAATAGCATACAATTTTGACGAATTTCACACGTTACTTGATATCGAACGATATGATAGTTGTGTGACATGCGTGAGAAAAGTTTTTATTTGCCGCCATTTCGCCAGTTGTAACTTGCAGTTCCTGACCACATCATAGAGAACTTATAATATGCGTATAGATAAAGCAGTGTATGTAACTGTACATAATTAGGCATTAAAACCCTCGTGTGATGTTTTTATGAAACGAATGCCTTTTATTGCTAACCATAATTTTTGCATTTCAAACCAACGAATAGAAGACATCCCTCACGGAGCAGTTCCTTATCTTAAAGTAATACTGCAACTTACACCAAGACGAGATAATCTATACCCTTCTACGATACGACTGCCTCCGTGGCCGAACGGTTACCATGCCGGACTGCCACGTCCCAGGTTCGATTCCCGGGCCGGGAGAAATGTTTGTATGGCTTACATTTATTTCTATCGTGAGTTTGGGTGTAATTTGTGGTTATCTATGTGTGTGTCCATGGCACCCGCGACACAGGGTTTCCCTAGTGCGGGGCTATGTTGAGTGTGTGCGTTATTATTATTATTATTATTATATTCTTACTTGCACCTCTCGCTTTGTTAATTTCTCCAACTCTCTCATTACCCGATCAAGTTAACTTGCCATAATATATATTGCATAAGAATCCTTTTTTCATATGCGTGAAAGAGACAGCGGTATTTTATTACGTCAAAAGAACGCGGCGATAGTCATCTTGTCTCGTTGGGAAACAAGGCGATGCGCGACGGCGATGCGCGACTACGCGACGACGTACGTAGATAAAATGATCAGGTGTTCCGTTCGTTCAAAAGTGTCGCTGATGTGGAATAAGGCATTTAAGGCAAGGCGATCGGAATCGTCTTACATGGACTGATCTACTAAGCATAAGTCACAGCTAGTGTTTGTTTTGCATATCTTTAAATTTGGAACCTGTAAAAGACCCGAAACGTTGGTTTGTTTGAAAAAACAAACATGAGCGATTGAGATCCTAAAAATAGTTTCATTTCTATGTGTCACAATATGAAATCTAAGAACTCGATACCTTTAAATTGTGCTTACTGTCTCCACTGAATTTAGTCTCTAAGAATTTCCTATACATATCCAATCTAAAATCTCTCATCTCTTCCAGAGCTACCGCGGTCGCAAGCCACTCGGCGGTACAGCTAGTATTCCTGGCACACCAGTCTCGATCCCTGGTGTTCCCGGCCTGAGCCCCGGCGTCCCCGCGGCGGCGTCCCCAAGCCCCGCACCACAGGCCCCGGCGGCCCCGAGTCCGTCTCCAGCCACCACGCCAGCTATGAAGCAGGAACATCCCAGTCAGCCTATGGTAAGTCTATTACCATTTTCAGCCTTTCTTTATGATATCAAGTGGTAAACGACACACCTCAGAGCTTTAAATTTCAAAGATCTGAAGAACACTGCCACTCGCTTGCGCGTCACTTCGAGATATGAAATTGACAACTGTGTATTTTAACCAGCTCCAGTTTCAAATTCGTATCAGTTCCGAATTCGAGAAATGACGATCCGAAATGTCACAAGCATCATTTTGTCCTTTAACCTTTAACCTAGTTATTTTTATCTTTTAACCTAGTGCACAAGCAACATCCGAAGTTAAGAAGTTGTATCCGAGTTTTCTAGATTTGTTAAACGACTTGAAAAAGGAGGAGGTTCTCAATTCGACTGTATTGTTTTTTTTTGTATGTATGTTACGCGATAACTCTGGTATTTGTGAACCGATTTTCATGATTCTTTTTTGTTGGAAAGGGGGTACTTCCATAGTGATCCCATTTCATTTTGAAGAAAATCATCCACCTCTAAGGGTGGCTGTTCACGCATGGAGATTCTTTTTTATAAATAGCGCCTAAATTTTACGTAAGGAGCAATTATTTTAATGGTTGATTTTGCTATTTCAATACTCAATACTCAATATATTTATTGCATTCATATGGTACACATGTCTTAAATTTAAAATAATGCTACACATATGAGCCCTTTCTTAAGGATAACAATAACAGCAGAGGTAGGCCGAGGTTTCAATTATTAATTAAAATTGTTATTTATCAAATAATAATATAAAAAGAGGAAAGTCATATAATAATAAAGAAATACGTCATATTATGAGTAGAATTATGTCACTTGAAAGTTTGAATTTAATTAGATTACAGTAGCATAACTTTATAGTATATAATTATTCAAATTTATTATTATTTTTATTTGTCATCAAAGTATTCATTTAAATTGTAATAGCATTTATTAATAAGATGTCATTTTAATTTATTTAGAAACATTGAATACTTTTCCTCGTTTTTAATAATGGGCTGGAGCTCATTGAATATCCTTCCCGACATCGAGTTGGGACTCGAGCTGTGTATGTGTAGCCGAGATCGTGGCAGAAGCAATCTATTGCGTGGTCTCAAAGTGTGTCGCGGCAGGTCGTCAGTGTTAGTGTAAAAGTCAGGGTGTTGTTTAATAAATTTACAAATTTCTAAAATATATATAGAACACGAATTCAAAATTTTAAATTGTTTAAAGCGCGGTCTGCAGCTATCCGTACTACTCAAATTGCCAAGAATACGGATGCATCTTTTCTGGATTGTAAATATTTCTCGTGCGTGCGCACTATTTCCCCAAAGAATAATTCCGTAACTTAGGTGGGAATGAGTGTAAGCATAATAAGCGGCCATTGCAGTCATTACGTCAGTCGTTTTCTTTATCTCTCTCAATGCGTACCTGAAACTAGACAACTTTTTCTTAATTTTTTGTATATGACATTTCCAATTCACATGCGTGTCTATATTTAAACTCAGCAAAGTGAAGCTGTGTACAGTTTCTCCAATGTGTGTATGTGTTTCTCCAATTCAAGGCGTTTTTCTCTCAATATACTTTGAGTAGTGATAACCTACTTTTATTATCTCCAGTGTCAAGTCCTGTATAGTGGCGAACTAGGGGATATTTCAATAAAACTTGGCAAATAGACGTAATTCCACGTACTTTTGAGGTCGATCTTTTTAGTACTCTGTACTGAGATTATGTAGTCTCGGATTCAGAACGAATACGAATCGGATGCAGTCCGCCAACGCGTTTAGTCTTCCAAACCGGACTACTACCCATTTCTTATATCCACCTATCGCTTACCTATTTCTACCGCCAAGCAGTAGTGTGAGCATTTCTGCCATCGAGTATATAACCAGAAATAGAGACGAAATAAGGGCCATATATTCCTGGTAACACATTAGCGATATAGCTCTTATAAATATCAACTCTCGTTTGCACTGAAATGTAGACAGGCCAACTACTGACCTGTGTGTACGTCTCCGTATATTCCAAAAAATATTCTGTGTTTATTGTAATAAAGATAATATTTTTAACAGTGCTGTTCTGTTCGGTGGTGTGGGAAAAACAGCAAAACATCTAATTACAAAACAAACGGTATCACATTTCATCGGTAATTAAATATTAAATATGTAATTTTGCAATTTTCGTCCATTGTAACAAAGCTCAAGTTAACTGGTCGATTTGAAGTGAAACAGTTGACGACACCCGTCAATTGTTTCGAACTCGGGCTGGCCAATCGGAGCGCAGTTGTCACAGTAATGATATGGCAGAATAGTTTTCAAATAAATTAAATGACATTTCGTCTCTATTTCTGGTTATAAACTCGATGATTACTGCGTTCCAGTTTTGAATGGACGCACGGTGGAACGTGTCGCTTACCTCAGGCGCACGACTTGTACGTCCCGTCAGTTAGTGTCATTAAAAAAACCCTAAACAGATGTGCAAACAGATTAACATCTATGTAAAACAACTAACATTTAATAGTAAACATAAACTTGTTTGTAACAACAAGTATTTAAATAGGTAAGTTAATTTTTTCGCACAAACAATAAACACAAAGTATTACTAATAGAAGCCACTAAGTATGCAAATTACTACCCCATAATTCTCATATTACAATACCATGTAATTAGTACTATAAATACCATCAAATTATGGTGCTATTATGTAAACTAAACGATAATATGTTGGTACTTCATTGTATGTAATTATTACCATAACGATGTCGTTGCATGTGGCTATACGTATGTTTTTAATTTTCGTGCTAGTGACGAGTTGTGTACATACTTCTATTTTTAACGAGTGTTTATTGAGCAAATTCTTTATTGTGTTTGGTTATGAGATTAATTATTAAAAACCGGAGAAAAATGACCCCTAAAGAATAATAACTTTTTCATACAAAATGAAACTATTTTTCTGGTTTTAAATCGAGTATATTTGTTTTGTCAAACGTATAAGTATTTGATTCGTTTAAAATCCGTAAAACCGATATAACTTTTTCATTAAAAAAAATCGTACCTTAAAAGTTTTGTGGAATTACATCTATTACAGTTGTTGTGGAAATCGGTTAACGGAAAGTGGGTGAAATCCAACAAACCGGATTCATACCCTAATTTGTTACCCTTAGAGGTGGAATATTTTCTTTAGATTTGAATGGGACTACTGAGTTACATGCTTTTCAATAAAAACAAAATCATTGAAATCGCTTCACACACGCCGGAGTAATCGCGTAACACACAAAAAAAATACATTCCAATTGAGAACCTCCTCTTTTTGAAATCAGCTAAAAAGAATGTATCGCATTACTACGCCGAGAAACTGTTCAAAACTTACCCCAGAATCCGAGTTATTCTATTTAGCTCAATATAAAATAATTCAAAATAAACGTGTAAGGCTTTTACAAGAAATATTGCAGCCACTTTTACTCAGTATCTTAAGATTAGGAATGAAAAGCACTTTGTACACGAGTTTTATTAAAATGAAACTCATTTTATTTGGATACGGGAAACATTTCATTAAAAAACATTGTAAACCAACATTTTATAAAATTTATAAAATGTTGGTTTACACATTATTAATATTTAAAATTTATCAAAGGCTGGTTATGATGTAGGAATACAAAGCTTTCTGCGCGTTCAGAAATTTAATTTAAAAATAATTGAATATCATAGTAATAAAACGTTGTGCAATTCAATAGAATTAATATTACAAATAAGTAATGAATTTGCAACGTTTATTATAAATGAGAGCTTGGAACAATTATTTAGTTAAAACAACGGGCATTGGATAATGGATTATCACCGCTATTACTTACTACAGTTATGTTTTTGACACGGATGTCTTTTCTATGCCAATTAGTTATGTTACAGATATCGAGTTATGGCAGCTTCTCCTTTCGTCACAAAGTAATATTTTCTATGCAAAACAAGTGATTTTATAAACGATTATATAAACGTTGCGTGATTCTTATTTTGTAGTTGTTCAGTTTAGTATATATCCTTTATTTACTGCTGAAGTAGAGTAAGGAAAATTAAACACATCGGAGACATCTTGCAATCTGTTTTATTGGTTTCATCACATCCAGATGCATGTGGGACACAAAAGTGTATCTTTTTTGCCCTTACATTTTAAACCTCGCTCACTTATTTATGAGATACATAAGGCTGTCTCATTGTCTCATTACATGCCCCAAAATAAAATAAAAAATCACGAGTTAAATTTTACTTATACTCTTACGAAATATAATAGTAACGTGGACACTAAAAAAGGCGGAACGTGACCACATTGACGCCTTCGAGCTGGAGAAAAATGTTTCGAATCCACTGGACTGATTTTCGCATCAACGACTCATTTCTGCGGGAGCTTAATGCCCAGACTAGACCACCTTATGTCTCCGTAGGATACTTAATTTCTTTGGTCACATTGCAAGGGCATAACCTGGCTAATGGTTACCGGACGGATCGACGGTAAACATCCGAGGGGTCACTGTCCCATAAGATGGTCCGACCAAGTTAGTACGGCTCTTGGCATGTGTCTCCATGATTCACTCCACTATGCCAAAGACCGCCACAGATGGCAAACCGTGATCATGTAGAAACTGTTTCAATTGTGAATCACAACTCATTAATGAGAAATACGACGCGAGGAGGAGGAGATACCATTACATGTTCTACAATTATAATGTTTTTACTTGTTTATTTTACAATTTCTCTTTACTCTTAAGTTCTTTAAATATACTAACTTCTTTTAATTAGCTTCAATCTAAACATTTATTTTTTTAATACTCTAACATACTTGACACTCAATGGCTTCAAAAAATTTTAGAGTTTTAATGAAGCCTGGCAAAATATTATTCATAGCATTGTGATATATATGCAGCGCGCGGCAAGGAGGGGAATTTTTTTAATTTTTCCCGTCCTGGGTCGGACCAACTTCAGCAATTTCTGGGTGCGCGCTGCGCCAAAATTTATTGCTTTGCGCCGGTCTTGGCGG